CAAACGCAACAGATTTACCCTAAAGAATAATGCTTTTATATTATGCTTATCTCGTGTCAGTGATGTTTGCATTACCATTTATAACCCTATTTGTTTACTGCAATAATAAAAGTCAGTGAGTGAATGGAAGGGGAATGAACTGAAGGGAGACTAGTGACTGATTTACTTACACAGCTGTATATGATGCTGAAACTATTCCTCGTGTTATAAAAAAGTAGAAATTATTAAAGTCTGTGCAAACATAATGTTAATTTCTTTGTTTATTTCAACTTTCTCAGCATTTTACTCTTTTTATCAATAAATTTATTTCTCCTCTTCAGTCTCAGTAATTCACTCTCAGTAACTCAGTCGCTGACTTCAAATCAATAGTATTAGTACTGCCATTCTTAATCTATAGTTAATCCAAAATCTTTTGCTTCATTTAAGATAAGGTTAAACATTATGCTGGTACACATGTGAAGTTGGGTTGTCTCCCAATTAAAAAAAAACATCATATTCCAAATTAATTTATTGATTCAGCTTATATCATATAATTTAATCATCCACCGTTCTATCTTTCTTAACTTGCACAGGAACACCAAAAAGTTGTCATCAGAATGTATCTATGTAAATATGGAAAAGTACAGTTTACAATACTAAAAGAAACATTTATGCAATCAGCTAAAATAAATATATCCAAAATGTCATACAGCAGACAACATAGATAAAAACTTCAGTCAATTTCCTGCAACTAAGCAATGTGAATACAGTAGTTTTGTTTGTCAAGGTTAATACTGAAATAACAATGCTTCTTGATGTCATTAATATAAAGAGTTTATTTAACAAAAAGAGATAATTATACATGGGTCAATTGTTACCTACATGTGGAAAAAAAAGTTGGTGTCACATTACTTAAGTCTCAGTTACCTGGTTATAGCCTATTCTCTACCTATGTACACAGTCCCGGCATAACTAAAGCCTGGCTTCATCCCTAACTACTTTTTGTAAGCGAAATATACACCTAATATCCCAGTAGGCATATGTGAGGTCTTATTAGGTTAATATGAAGTATAGTGTGAAAATTTTGATAATCATTACTCTATTAAAATTCAATGCAGGTATTGCCATCTCATCAATACAACCAACAATATTCTTCCATCTGCAAAGAACAAGCAGCACGACCCCACCATCCCTCAAAGCTGGGACTTGTTACCAATATAGAGTAAAATTTACCCCCCACGATGATGAGGCTAAAGTTCCGTATTAAACATAACAAAGATATCTTTTACAAAATGAAACTGCATGACAGACTCTAGTACATTTTCTGCACACATTTTTCAATAATTATAAAATAAATCTAAGAAAATAATAACAACATTTATAATATAATCTATTAATAAAGAAGAAAAACAAAATATATCTTTTGCACTGATAAAATTCTAAATTTGCACATGCACTGAAAATAAGTGAAAGAAATTTTGCAAATTCAAGTCATGAACAAATCCAGTCTTTCTTCAGTTGCATCTGTGCATCAGACCATTTTAACATGTTTCTAAATACAAGGCCAGGTTAATAAACACTTTCTAATCAACTAGAAACAATAAATGCTGATATAGTAAATAATAAAAAATACTTTATGACTTCTTCATCAAATAAATTTGGTAAATACTTTATGACTTCTTCATCAAATAAATTTGGTAAATACTTTATGACTTCTTCATCAAATAAATTTGGTAATTTGTTCACAACAAACACCGGTACAATTTAATATATTTTTCTGTATATTCTATATAGTTATAATAATAATATTTTAATGCATAAATTTTATCTTAAAAATAAAACAAAATAAAAATTATACCATACAAAGACTGACTTGCAGAAGACCAAGTTACTGCCATATATAATATTCACTGTGATTATTAAATAACATAACAATTTTCACACTATAAATACGTTCTTGGTGAAGTGAAACATACAATGTTTAATGTTTACAAGAACTGCATACTACACCTTTGCTTATAAATCATGCTAAATATAACTTAAAAATAAGATATTTCTATCAAGCTGCCAATCAAATACTTGTCTTGTTAATTCTGTGCTCTCTGCTTCTATGTTTGAGCATAATCCATATCTAATTAATTTTGCAATACAAAACCACTACCACATTACAGTTCTCCCCTGTCGAAATATGAGGACTGTGGCAATACAAAAATCAATCTGGCGCTTGGTCAATTATATATATATATACATAAATATACACAAACATCACTGGGTCTGTACGTTCAGTCTGCTGTACCTGATAGGGTGTCAGATACTGAAGAAACAAACTTTACTTCTACCTAATTTTCAAAGGAACTTATATTTTCATTCTACATTCTGCCACATTTTCATTCATTTCAAAGTACTCTCTTTCTCTTGCCATCTTTTTACCAAGTTTGTCTGCATAAGATGCAAAACGCTGATAAAGAAGACAATGAAATGAAAGCAAGTAATTCACCTTGACCTCTTATTCTTTCACATTTTTTTTTTAAAGATTACTGTGCTCATATACAATGTGTATCGTATAATCACTACACTTACTTTGACTAACATTAGCATCATTTTAGAAATATCATAAAATAAGAGAACATGCAAGTTCTCAAATTCTTTTTTTTTTTTTTTTTTTTACTTTATCTTATCTATCAAGTTACAGTATATGCTTATGTAAACATTATGGAAGTGCATAAATAAATAAAACATGATACAAAATAGATAAATAAAAAAGTATCTGGAACCCAATACATTTTTGTCTTCCTTTGTGCCCTTCTTTATAAAAGCAACACATTCTGCATAGCTTCATTTATATGTAAATAACAGCCCTCTAATGCTTTATATCTGACATGCTCTCATACAGGCTGCTCATCAAATATTGTATTTCAGCATTATAAGCAAGAGATCAATACAGTGTATCATAAATGCACAAATCATAATACAAATTACAATGAATATTGCATCTAGAAAATAAATAGCTTTTCACACCAATTCCTTTAGTTTCTTGTTAAATTTCTTAGCTTCAAAAAGCAAAGAAACTGATTACAAGTAAATCCTATGCATGGATCACTGCATGAAAAGAAAAAAATAAGCAAATAACTTTTCTTGCCCAATACCATATAAAAACAGGTTTCAAACTCAATTTTGTGGCCACTTCTACTGTAACTAATTCTCATACAGCTGGCCAATCTTTGCATAATATATGTCAACTTATATGACATGAAGATTTTAAAAGTCAAAATAAAAAAGTCACATAGTTTCTTAATCATTAAGATTAATAAATATATCTCTTCTCTTGCTTCCCATGAAAAGGGTAACTGCCTGAAATGCACCATGGTTGGTGGAAAGGCTTCATGGTAGGAACAAAGCAATTACGTAGTGCTCTGATTCTGTACCACCTCAGGAAGTGTTACAGCTGCCAATTTACTGTTACTGTCAGCAATAATTATTTTGTCTTGCACTTGGAAGACTTTTACCCCAGGCTATAGTGGCCACAGGGTCCTCACCTTTTCTGACAACTGTCCAGCTGTCAGCTGCCCATAAGAGTATGGGGGCTGATAGGCCTGTTGAGTGAAGATCTTACCATTTTCTTCATATCCTAACACTTTATCATCATTGGGGACAAGGATAAGGCTGTTAAGATGACCCTTTTGTGAAAACAATTTCCCACATTCTTCAAAGTCAAAGCCTTTCTTCTCTGTGTGCATAAACCTATGACTATTAAGGTGGCTCTCTTGTGAAAAGCGCTTGCCACATTCCTGACATGCAAACCTCTTTTCTTCACTGTGTACAAACATGTGGCTACTGAGGTGAATTTGTTGGGCAAAGCGCTTTCCACACTCTTCACACTCAAACAATTTCTCTTCACTGTGCACAAACTCATGGCTACTGAGATGGCTCCTTTGTGCAAAACGTTTACCACACACACCACATTCATATCTTCTCTCTTCAGTGTGAACAAACCTGTGGCTGTTCAAGTGACTCTTCAAGAAGAATCGTTTGCCACAATCTTGACATTCAAACTTTTTCTTATCGTGATGCACAAATCTGTGACCATTTATAATAGTTTCCTGTGTAAATTTCCTTCCCCATTCCTGACTCTCCAGCTTCTTTTCCTCACTGTGAACAAATTTGTGACTGTTGAGGTGAACCTCCTGGGCAAATCGTTTTCCACATTCTTTGCACTCATACATTTTCTCCTCACTGTGCACAAACCTATGGCTATTAAGATGACTTTTTTGCATAAACCGTTTGCCACATCCTTCACATTCAAACCTCTTCTCAACTGTGTGCACAACCCTGTGACTATTTAGGTGGCTTAGCTGTGTGAATCGCTTGCCACACATCTCACACTCAAACCTCTTCTCTTCACTGTGAACAAATCTATGGCTGTTGAGGTGACTTAACTGCGTAAAACGCTTTCCACATATCTCACATCCAAACCTTTTCTCACTATGCACCAGCAGATGGCTGCTTAGATGGCTTTTGTGTGTGAATCGCTTCCCACAAAGCTCACACACAAATTTTTTCTCACTGTGCACATGCATGTGGCTACTAAGATGACTTTCAAGTATGAAACGTTTACCACAGATCTCACACCCATATTTCTTTTCGCTGTGAACTAGCATATGCCCATTCAGGTGGCTCTTCTGTGCAAATCTTTTTGCACATACATCACACTCAAATTTCTTCTCACTGGTATGAACCAGCATGTGACCATTCAGGTGGCTTTCCATTGTAAACCTTTTACCACACAATTCACACTCGTACTTTTTGTCGCTAGTGTGAATTAGCATATGACTGTTCAGGTGACTCTTCTGAGAGAACCTCTTGCTGCAGTTGCCACATTCATAGGGCTTGTCAGCACCTGACTGTAACCACATTTCAATCTGAGTTTTTAATTTATTTTGTTCCTTCGTGACAGAAGCATTGTCATCGAAGGTGACATTAGCATACACTGGTGCACAGTTGTCCAAAACGGGAGGCTGAGG